AGAGCTTTCCGAACAAAGAAACAGCTGGGCGTGTCGAGCGCGCGTCAACTGAATAAAACCTTACGGAGGATTATCTATACCGGGCATGAAATAGCTTTAATTCGATTACTCGTTATCGGGCGCGAACACTATATATTTCGTACGGCTTCGTCGGCTTCGAGTTTCTGAGACCTCTCGAGGACTCGCGCGTTACCCCTTCGCGCGAGAACGTTACACTCGGCTATCTTGGAAAAAAGTTTCCCTTCAATCGCGTGTCCGTACTTCTCTTCCCTCTCGTACTCGCCGAATAAAGTCAATTTCCATCGACCGTGTAAAGAAAGTCGATATGTACTGTAAAATTCACATTGAAGGTCAATCAGGAGCTCTAGAAAGAATAAGAACGCTACTTGAAGACTACAAATGACACTCGGAAGTAAAGACGAGAATCGACTGCGTTCTATTCTGAGCTATCGAACGAATCGCTACAACGTTTACTGTATAAACACCGGATTGTACGATTGTATGGTTGTATGAAAGAAATATAAAATTTAGAAATATATTCTTTACAATCGAGCGATCAGACGCTTCAAAGAAACCGAGAGAGACCGACAAAGATAGTTGAAACGAGTTTCGAAATATGCGTGGAGGACGCGCATTGTCGTACGATGGAGGATTTCGAGGAGCGTGTTTGCAGGTGGTTGCGACAGAGATCGCAGCACCGAGAGAATGGCCCGCGTGACTCTTTTTCCTCGGACGGAGTGCAACTTCCTGCAGGTCAGAGGCAGGACCGCGGACGTTAGGCGACGTTAGGTTGCGCAACGTGTTAAGCTAGCCAACGGTCTTGTGGTAAAAGCGAGCGAGTGACTTTTGTCGGAGGAGAACAGCCTTGGGGCCCCTGGCCGGATGATTTACGCTCCGGCAGTAAATCATAAACCGGAGAAAAAGCCGCGCTCCAACGGAGGTTAACGAGCCCTCGGGCTCCGCGACAATGCGAAAATGGGTCGGAAGTCATAATTCACGTCCCGAGAAGCAGTAGCAGCAGCAGCAGCAGCAGCAACAGAAACAGCAGCAGCAGCTTCCTGCAGTCGAGGAGTATAAACATTTCACTTGGAACGAACTACGAATTTGCCAAAGGAGGAACACGAGGCTGATAGACGGTTCCTCCTTTGCTAGACTTTCACATGCTAGAGCAGAGAGCCGACGCCTTGCGGCCACGAAGACACTTCCTGCCGGGGGAGATCTTCGATCTCTTCGCTGACGAGCTCCATTGAAATTTACGGGTGTTGCTGCACGCCTTGCTGCGCAGGCTAATTTTCCGTCGTGCGGCTAATTTCGCGGAGGGTGAATAAATTCCGGTAAAAATTCGAGGAAAAAGGAGACGAGATGGATTCAAAATCAGATCGAATCTGTGAATCCACGTACGTGCAAAAACAAACACTTTTCTTTCCTCGAAAGGTGGCAAACCCAACTGGACAGGTATATCGGATACCTGCTTCTATATAAAAGAGGGAGGGAGGGTTTGCGATTAGCAAAAGGAGCGAAGGCGGTTTTTCCAGGAAGCGGAGGGGTTGGTGCATCCTGTGGAGTACAAGGTCGCGGGACAAAGGAGGCCGATCGATAAAAGCAGCGGGCGAAGAATCGTTGCGGGGGTCGTTGCTCTCTCAGCAGCGGAGTCACGGCGCATCGGTGCCGAATACGAAAGGGATTCGTACTCGTAGTGACGGGGTCGAGTCTCGTTTAAATAAGTTAGCAGCGTGGTTCGGCGGCGGCGGCGGCGGCGGCGGCGGCGGC